CTGTGGTTATTTGTAACATCTACTTGGAAAGATGCATGAATAAAAGAGCCAATTTTAAGAAATGGAGACAGTTCCATACCTTTTATAAGTCAATGCATTCATGTCAGGGATGAATTGAGACCAGGTTCCTCAACAGAGTTAAATCATTTCTAGGCAGTCCCAAGAGAGCAGAAATCACTGTGCCCTGCAGTGGGGATGTTCTCACCGCAATGCAAAACCCTACTACAAATTTTGCTCAGTGCTTATGTCTTTGCCTTAGAGAAGAACTCAGTTCAAAACCAGTATAAACCCTTACACACTGTGGATTTGAAACTGGTGCCATGGCTCCAGGAAGACAATCATCACTCAGAAGTATCTATTATAGCCACAAATAATGCCAGGGCTCTGCCTTCAGAAATTAATTCTGTTGTGCTGGATCAGATGGCTGCAAGTGATATTACCATGCCTAACCTAATTTTTGCAAACAGTAGCAATCCAGGCCTGCAGTTGCTGGATGGATGGCCCCAGGTCTGCCTACCTGCATCAAAGGGGAGCTTATAGATCTGTGTGATCCTGAAAACTTCCAGTGCAGGGTAGTAATATCTAAAGGGCAAAGAGAAGGTCTCACTGGGAGGATAGCCTTGTGAGTCCTTCATGGAGCACCACAGGGACTGTCGATGCCGTGCTTTGCACTGACCACACTGACCTTCCTTGGGGGCAAACGCACCTGGGTACACAGCTTTCTGGGCATCACAGGAATTAATGACTATACAGAAAGGAAAACTGATTGCTTTCAGCGTAGCGGGCTACACACGCCAAGTGTTATCAAACCATCTGCCCATTCGTTGCTCTGTCTCCATTGTGCTTTGTTGTTGATCTTTTTTTTCTCCAACTCCACAAAAAAGCCCCATTTTGGAGTGACCATCAGATGAGAGATTAACCATGACTCTTCTGGTCATGGAATACACGTGAAAACATATAGTGCAAAGGGCTGATTTTTGTCTTGAGGTTGGGATTTATACAGTGCTTTCCTCCCTGGATGGTCTGAGGAGCAGAAATGGTGCCGTATGACACCTCACAGGCGTCCCACACCTTTCAGCTGTAAATCTGTTTCTCCAGAGATAGAAAAAGGAAGAAGACACACAGCTAATTATGCTCTGTGGGGCATTTTGCCTTTTTATTTCCTGATGTATTCCCTGACTGGTGGAAAATCACTCTTGGCAAACACAAAACTTACCTTGTTGCCAAAAGGTGCAACTCTAAATTATTAATCAAGAGCACACAGAACCACGAAAGGTGGTATATTGAACAAAGGCTCAATTGACACTCTGGAAGTTGAAGAAGATATGGAAGACTCCCTTCTAATTTATTTATTCCTTTTCTGTTCTGTTATCCTGATATGCTGCTTCCAGTTACCACTGCACCCCACATTGTATGGTATTACGTGATTTTGTTTTCACATTGTTGGAGATAAAGTTACTTCATTATTAATATATATGCACTGTGCATATCCATAAATATTGAATATATATGTGTGTGTAAACCTACTGGAAGTGTTAATAGTTAAGATAAACTAAGTCCATTATCACAATGAGTGACTATTTCTATGACCCTATTTGCAATAAAACTAGATTCAATGATATGAGAAAATTGCTAGGTTTCAAAATAATTGAACCAGGCCAGACAAATCCCCACAAAGGCATCATTTACAAAGTACTTTGCTTGTCTAAAATATTTATCCCCGCAGAAAGAAATGGAAAAAGAGTTCATATGGTTATACAGCTATCCTCTGAGCATAAAATTGTTTTATCATGTTATGTTTATTTCCTAGACATCTTCCATTGGGGTATTGCAGGAAAATACTGGCTGTGCAGTTAGTTCCTTTGTGTGGACTGTTCATATTTATTTGCTGGGAAGTCAATCATGTTTTGTTCAAGCTTGTTTTGTTTTTCTGCTGAGCAAACACTTAAGCAACCCTTTTCTTGTAAAAACTTATTTGCATATACAATGTGCACCATTCAAAGTCAGCACTATACAGATAGCTGAGATGTCTTTGCTTTCCCTCCTATGTACCATGGGAAGTAGTGGAATTCTTCCTGAGAATGCTGGCGTTGCTCATTAAGACTGCAGTATATTGTTCGTGCTTAAGGACTCCATCAGTAGTTGCAGATATTTTTAGTTTGTCTTGTATTGAAAGCCTGGATAGATTTTTACTATTAAATGTTCACAGCGAAATGCTTCCAAGCAATCTACAGACAAAGAATTACTCCCAGCAATTATCCACTGAATAAATCTGAATAATGAATATGTTCACACAAGTCACTATCTATTTGTGAACAATTAGCTGAAAGAAATAGAGGTGACACTCATCAGCTAAATAATTCATTTATGAATTCTTTGTCCAGCTTTGCTTCTGACATATGTTGCACGAAATGAGATCAAAGCTTGGATGAAAAATTACTTTAAAAAGAAGGGCAATGTTAAAGGAAATTCTTCCAGCTTCCAAAGCAGAAATTATCCCACTATTGTAACTATTATTTATTACCAGTGATTTCAGAACCTAGTGAAGTTATTTTCCTGGAATCCTTCTCTTCATGCACTAAACTGTGTTTTATTCCTAATGTATATCCAATTTTAGGTTGTTAAACTGCAATCAAAAGTACTTAGTAGGAATGGATCTGTCCCTGTTATGAGATTTGAACTCCTGACATCTTTATCCACTGGAACTTAAGTGCCCAGGTAACTACTAATTATTCAAGCATTTACAACCGTTACTATCAATATAATTAACACATTCTCGGATAAAAGTGAGAATGGGACTATGAAATGATCATTCCTAGCATTTGGATAGCAATCTTTCATGAAAACATTTATAAGCTGCCTAATTATTTTTCAATCAAATGAACAGAAAAATTGTTTACATTTAAGGGGAATCTCCAGAACTGAAAAGAAATGGTTTCTGGCATCAAAAATGGTAAATATTGTCTCCACATGCCCATTTCTTGAAAATAACACACCCCTCCATCTTTCCTTTGGTGTTTTTTAAAGAAAATAAAAAAAAAAATCTGATCAATTGTTTAGAAAAATGTGAAACCTTTCTTTCAATAAAACCAGATTCAATGAAAAAGACAGGAACAAGGTTGTTCATTCAGGTCTAAAATCTCATGAGCTCACTGCCACTCTCTGCAGGAATAAGAGGCTGCAAAAGGCCTTCTTATGTGCCTTGCTGGATGACTCTAGTAAAAATAAATGAGACAATTCACATAGAGAAAGTGAAAGCTAGATGAAGACTAGAGTTTGACTTCCTTCTTCCTACCTCCACCAGTTTTATTGGCCAAAGTAGGCAGATAAATTCCCTCTTATATTGATTAGTAGCAAGTGATTATCACAATGGGAGGAAGGAGGAACCAGAGGAGAAGCTAGGGACCACGGTTTGGAAGGCTTTGTCACCTCTCTGTCTAGGATCTACTATGAGCAAAGTTTTGAAGAATGACTTTTTCCCACCCAAAGCTCAGCTTAGATATCCCAAAATAACTGCTGTGAAACACTTGCAGGACACCAGAGAAGGGATTTTGAGAACATTTCACAATCTCTGCAGCTGTGAGCCGGTTGCAGCATGAGGAAAAGCCCTCCATCACCCCAATGTACAGGAAAGAGAAGGTAAGGGGACTCTCTCCAGGTGGTTTTTAGATATGGTGCATTCAGTGAAGATCCCCAGTCCAGAAAAATGTGTCATTCTCCATGTTTACACTGCTTTCACTGCTGGAAAGGGAAGGGCTGAGGACAGCAGCCCCTGCAAGTGCTGCAGACCCATTCAGAGGCTGAGCTGTGGGAAGGCAGCAAGGCTCAAAGGGAGCTGCTGGCCCCACATTAGCTGTAGATTTCTCACCTGCTGTGCTGGCCCATTTTTCTCTAGGGGAGGATCTTGACCCTTCCCATTGACTCACCCACTCCCCAAATCCCTGAAAGGAAGATTAAAATAGTGAAGCCCACAGAGCTGCTGTGCCCTCTGGTTCCTAGTGCCAATGTAAGCATCTTGCAACTCTTGCTCCACTGGGTAAGTGCAAAATGAGGACCCCAGTCTGAGCATGCCATGGGAGAATCCATCCAACCACCTGGAAAATAGCACAAAACTGGAGTACTTTAGACATGTCACAGCAAATAAATAGCTCCAGGAAAAGAACAACAAAAAAAGCTCAAGCCTGTGCATGTAGAGACAGTAAACCACCATATTTCAGCAGTCATGGCAGGGATTTCTGACTGGAAATTGTATATTTGATGATGACCAGCCTTCAGCATTTGACAAGGGGCTGTTAAAGCCTCTTAAACAGTAAATCACCTCTCTTCCTATCAATAATCTTATTATAATGTCTGTAGAAATGTCTAATGTTAAAATCCCACTTTATTACTATAATAATGGATCTAATTTGTAAAACATATAAAGTGAGGCCATAACTGTACTAGAGAGAGATATATGTGATCCCACTACATCTATATCATTTCCTGATGGCTTTACCCACATATTTTGAATGGGAGAAGGATTAAAAGCAATCCCACTTGCAAGATTTTTGAGATTGGGAATGGCTTCTGGAAAGGAGATCAACATGATCATGGAAACGCAGCAATCACTATATAAAGAACAGCCTCGACTTCACGTTTACGCATATAAATATGTAGGTGTTTATCTGTGATTTGCTCCATTCAGCCCCTTTCCAGTTGCCAGGAAAGCCCTGTTTTTCAGCTGCACAATCAGTATTATCACTATGTGCTATTTTTGTCTACTGAGTACATTTCAAGTAACGTCATCCTTCCCAAGCCAACGCTGGTATGAAGGGCGGAAACTCTTCTTTCCACTCCTCTGTCATTTGCTGCTGCTCCCATCTGCTCAGTGGCACTGCCTGCTCAGTCCTCGCTGCAGAGAGATCTCCAGACACTTTTCCCTGGTTCTCCCTGTTTTCTTGAGCAAGTGGCTTTCCAACCGAAGCTTCGTGTGGGAGGCTTCATGTTGGCATCCAGAGTACATGTCCCAAATATGTCCAGCCCCACCTTCTGACCCTAATGCAGAGGAGTTGCTGGTAAGTAGTCTCTTGATGGGTGATAGAGTCCTTCTGTCCAACATCTGGAGCTTTTCACAAATGGGTTGTTTTTAAGGGCATATAATTTCCCAACTAGCACTTTGATAGGTTTCCAGCTCTTGTCACAGTATGTTAACACTGGGTTTCTGTCTGAGGGGAAAATGCATCGTTTTTTTCTGACACTGTGTAGCTTTGATTTCCATAAGTTGTTAAAGTCTAGCAAATATCATAAATGCCACTTCATTTTTAAGGTCTTCCTTGTCTAGGTCCTACCCAAAAAGCTAGTTGTTTAATGTTTTTCTCTTCTGATGTGATGTAACCGTTAGCTGTTTGGAAAAGCTCATATGGACAAGAGCTGCACTTGGAGTTATAAATCTCTTCAAATACAAGATTTGGTTTCCTTGGCTGTGCCACGGGAGGAGCCCTCCCAGCTAAAGCTATAACCACTGCTAGTCTGAGCTGGGCATCTTCTGCTGTGTCTCCCTAACCCTGTTTCATTTTACACAGAGTAATTAAATATTCATTATGCCACAAAGTGTGTGTATGTGTTTGTGTGGCTATAGCAGAGTGATTAGGGTACTCACCTGGTAGATGAGAGACCCTGTTCCCAGTGACTGCTCCAATGAATATTTAAGTATTTCATATTAAGTATTCATTGGAGCAAGGATAGGAGCAGACTTCTCCCACCCCCAAGGGAGCACCCAAACACCAGGCTGTAAAGTCATTCTTTTGTTCTTTCTTTCTTTATCTCAATGAATATTTAATTACTTGAGGCCAAACAAGATGGTTTCAGTGGCAGAGACTGAGATTGCCTGCTCCCACGTGTGCACCATAGCTCTGATGATGAGGGTGTGCATATAAGACATATGTGTTCATATTCCTTTGGACTTCGAAAGAAGTTGAATCCAGGTTTCCCATACCCTGGAAGGGTATTCCAGCTTCCGAGCTGCTGAATAAAAACCACAGATCTCCAACACACACTGTCCCTGGTCATGAGACAGAGGTGGTATGGATTCTTGTATGACCCCAAGCTCAGAGAAAGCATCCTTATCAGTGAGGTAAGCCAAAATCTGGTTTATAAATCCCTCAGGAGAAGGTATCAAAGCTGAAGACGTTCCTCACTCCATGGCGGTTCCTGCTGGCTAAGTTATGTGCCTTTCTGAGATTATCCAGAGTGTGATGCATAGGGAAACCTACTTATCCCCTGTGCTCTGGGGTCTGACATTCCCAGACTGTAAAGGGACTTAATCCTGCCTCTGCAGCCCAAGGAATGGGTATGTGAAATGGTGAGTGTGGGGAAAGCATCCAAAGAGAAAAGGTGTAGAGCAAGGGTATTTGAGTCTAAAAATGGGCAAAAGTAGTAGGCACTGGGGAGTAGAAAGATTAAAACAGGAAGAAAAACATGGAGGAAGGAGCGTGCAATCACTGAGTGGGGAAATGACACATGAGGGGAAAAAAAGGAGCAGGGACAGTGACTAGAAGGAGCAAACAAACCATCTTAGAAATAATACCCTTTACCTAACAAAGGAACAGAGGGAAGGGGGAGAAAGAGGTAGAGAAGATTACTTTGATCTTAAAGTAAAAATAAAATATGGAGAATCTCTGCCACCCACTTAGATCTTTGAAAAGGAGAAAATTTGCCATCCACTCTCCACTTTCAGAGGGCAGTGGGTGTCTCTGAACCGAGATGCTTTGGATTCACTTTGGGGAGCTGACTGTGGGAGCATTCCTATGCAGAAGAGGGACTTATTACTATTATTGCAGCTCTGTTTCTTGTCATTTGGCAGAATCCACAGCAATCTGATTCTATTATCAAAGACTGAGCGTGACTCAAAGTAAAAAACAGAGCAACAACATAATTGTGATATTGAAGTGCAAACAAACTACCATCTTGTAGCCATCAGGACTGTGTCCAAACCCAAGACTGCTGCATAGTCTCAGTTGCTGAAATGGCAACACTACATTCAGAATGGAGCTGCTTAGCTCAGAAGAACATTTCAAAGGTGCTCCCAATGATGTGGTTCATGTATTTCACATCATATTTATGTCCGTCTACGCCCGGGCTGTTGAGCAGCCACCTTCAGTAACTGACCACTCCAATTTAGAGAAATCCTTTCTGAACACTTTGCTGCTTGTTACTTTAACTAAGTTTTTTCATGAGAAGACAGCTTTAGAGTACTGAAGATCTATGACAATGAAGGAATATCCATATTGTCTTGCTATAAATATTACAGTGGTCTGACTATAAATGTCAAAACAGATGCGTTTCATATCATGTCCTTCAAGGGACATGGTAACATAGCCACAGAAGCCCAAAGCTTCACCCAGATGCATTACTCCAGTTTGAATAGCCATGTGTTTTGTGTTTTGATCAATTCTTTAGACAGGTGACAGTAGCTATCCTCCTTCAATACTGAGGAAAAGGCCACCTGTGGACCAAGCTGTGGGGGAAAAGCGGAAAGCAGAGAGAAGGGTTCGATTTCGTGACCCAGAAGTCATTGAATATGGTACGCTCAAGCTATTAAGCCTTTTGGCATGACCTTTCTAGCTTTTTAACATTCACCCTGTCTGCCCACATCAGCTTCCCCCTCAGATAATGTTATTTGTGATTTTGAGCTCAGCACGGAGCAGAGGACAGACAATTTTTGCTCTGTGCTCTGCAGAATTTTTCTGGTCCATTTGCCTGCCTGCTCTGGGAGGAGACAGGCTCCTGCATCACATTAGAGCAGCCTGAGGGCTGTTCTTGTGGTGAACTCCTGAGTCAGCTCCCACAGGGATCATTGTAGACTATGGGTTTGGCTGAGCCTCAGGTCTACCCCAGAACAATGCTTTCACTTATAGAAAAGGATCTCAGACCAAATTTAAACATGCTTATGTCATTCTGGGTAACTAGGATGTAATGGTGGGGAGGGAGCCAGCCCTTTCTTGTCTCTGAGCAGCATGCATGCCACAGCATACAATAGCAAAGGTCGGAGCCTGACTGGCCCACTGGGGTTAAAAGCAGCCAGGATGTAACCATTTCTGCCAACGAGGGCACCCAAGGAATGATACAGCTAACATAACCTCTAGTCTTTCATTCATGAGCCAAAATAACAGTTTGCAGGTAGGTCAACTGGGAGTGAGCTTAAGCAGAGGTCTAGTACAAGGATTCAGTTTGCACTTGTGCATGTGAATATACAATTCATAACCAAATAACTTTCACAAACTGACTCAACTAAGAAAAATTGTATTTATTGGTAGGGAACTAAAAACCATACTAATTGTATGGTTTTGATATGTCAGTCAGTAAAAACACAGGTGACAGAATGGTAAAATTTCTGTCAGCCACCTGTTTGGACTGCTGCTCAGCTTCTAAAAACAAGGCTTGGCATCCACTACTGTGTTTGTACACAGACCTTGCATTGGTTTTGCAATATGTTGTTTCTGGTGCCTCCTGATGCAGGAGTGAAAAGCTGTTTCTTGATAAGGTTGTTGACATGGCCTGGGCTTTCCCATCAAAACTGAACTCCTGGGAAGATTCAATGAGTCGGCCCTAAATTCTGCAAAGCTCACCTGACTGCTCAAGAGCAGGATTTTGATGAGCTGTAATACCTCCTTCATCTCCCTGCCAGAGTCCATGCCCCCACATCAGCACTGATAATCCTGCAGTCAGTCCAGCTCGGGGGACCCGGTTCATCTCTCTCCGGCTCTGAATTCAGCACAGCCATGCTTGAGCTCCAGGGAGCTGCAAGGATGGAGAAGGATCTGACTATTTTCCATGAAGACATGAGAAATGTCCCAACCCATAATTAGTATTTCGTGTTGCAAGCAGTCTGTGATTTAGACTATTTGCTGTTTGCCCATGTAATGTTATTAATGTAGAGGCTGGTAAGATGAAGGTTGCTGGCAGCACTGAAATTTTTCCATTCTCTGGATTTTTCATCCTGGTTTGCATTTGGGTCCCAGCTGCCAAGAGAAGGCAGTTCCAGGATATTGTTGGATGGCAGTTGCATCTGACAGTGGGCTTTTCTCTCTTAACTTTCTTCTCTCAGCCTGCTGGTCTATCTCCTTTCCCTTCTAGAAATGATGTGGAATAGGGAGGTCTTTTTTGTGAGCTTACTCCTGACCTCCCTGCAACAGCAGCAATCTCTGTCTCTGAAAATCCCCAAACAATATTTTTTTCTCACTTCTCTGAAGTGTTTCTGCATGTTTGCATGGTGTGGGTAGATCCTCATCTGGCATAAATCTGTACAGACAAAAGCAGTGTAAGAGGTAGCCCAGTGTCTATAAGGCAACAGGCAATTTCAGAGACACTGCTTGGTGCTTTCTTTCTTATTCATCTGCTGCAAAGAGGCCTTTCCAGGCATGTAAGAACATTTTCATTCTGTTTTCTAGCCATTTCCTGCTGTGACTACATAGTGGGTAAGTCGAAGTTTCACATTATAACTGCGAGCCATCCATGGCACTAACCTGAGTTTGCTTTGCGGCTGCTGGGATGCACTGTGCAAATATATCCTCTGTATACAAAGCATTTTGTACTGTCAGTGGTTGTTGCTTTTTCTTCTCAGCATATGAAGCACAAGGTGTTGATGAGGTCTGGTGCAGTATTTTAAACAAGACATCGAGTAAGACAAATAGTGGAAACAAAAATGAAATCCCTGAAGCTATTTTTAATTTAAATATAATTAATATATTTTATGGCAATAGAATAGGTACAGGTTTTTCACTAAGATATGCAGGGAAAGCACCCCAAGCGAAACAGTAGTTCTCCCTGCTGACTTTCATATGTGGGGAAGAGACAATTCATTTATATGCTGGCAGCAGGGTAGAAATAATAAAAATAATCTGTTTTTTCTTTTTTGTTTGCAAGGATGTTCAAGGCCAGCCAGCCTCACAGACCCTCAAGCAAATGTGTGTGTCTGGATGTTCTTATGATGATGATAATTTCTAGAGGCCCTGGCCAAAATCCAGCCCCTGCTGTATACAATGCAGTAAGGGGAGAGGGGTACATATATACGTGTATGTATACCCACATGCACAGAACCATAGTGTTGGGAGGCCAAAATGAAAAAAATGTCCCCACATCCCCTAGCTGTTGCTATTGCCCAGGAAGAAAGGTTGCATGCTCACAGCAATGACAGCATCAGCTAAGGCAGTTATTGGGATAGGAAGAAGGTACTAGAGGCAGGAAAGAGCCAGGTGAAAAAGTAAAGACCAAATATCCCTCAGGTGACAGTGGAAATGTGTGCCCAAGGCAGGAACTGAACCAAAATCTCCTGTATCCCGACCCAGTGCTTTTCTCAGATGAGTTGCCTTTTTCTTAGACTGGACACGTGGCTAGGGCTGAGTGTGCTGTTCCAACAAACAAGTTAACTAATGAGTTTAAGCATTAATTTTCTATTTGTAATCTAGAAAAGAGCAAACTTACATTTAAGCACATAATTGTAGTGATGTGCTGAAGCTGTTGTGAGCATAGCTCGTCACTATTTTGTGGGTGGGATTATTCTCCCACATTATTTTTTTCTGTTCCTGGACTGAAAATGCTCCCTAATTGAGAGGACATAAGGAAAAGCCAAGTTTGCATTTGAGATCACACAGAAATTTTGCATGGAAAGTAACTTTTGCAAGATTGAAAAAGGTTATAAGCACTTCATAGAAAAGGGCTGATGTAAGAAGCTGTTCAGCTTTCACAGAAAAGTTTCACTATTACCAGGTATGCTCATCAGCCAGGCCTCATGCTTTGAAAGGCAGATAGTCACCCAGTCGAGGACCGTATCTTGTAGTGTGGGAGATCACACAAGGGAAATACCAACTTCCAAATCACAAATTTCTGTAAAAACAAAAAGTGGTGAGTAGTTCCCTGGCTGAATACCTTCATATCAACCATTCATAGAATAATACCAAACAAAAAAATTCATAAAAATTGAAATCTGCTCATGGATAATTTGCAAATAGAAAAAAAGGGCTAAATTCAAATGAATAAATTATTTGCTGCAAATAATTCACTCAGATCTATTATGGGACATTGATTTGGTTTCTGGTTAGCTATAAAATGACTGCCTATTAACATTTTACCTTTTCCCCATGCACTTTTTGATACATTATTATGTGTTTCTTGCTTGGTTTTATGACTTTTACCTTCCTCTCTGTACATCTGTATGACAGTTTAATTGACTGCTGTGTATTCCAGGGCTCGTAGTAGAAGCTAATTTAAATATGTTACAGCTAATGTTGGCCCTTTTACCCATAATAATACACACCACATTTTTATCTCCTTATTGATTATGTGCATATGGCAGGAAAATAGCTGCACACCACGGGTTTTTATTCAGGCATGAATTTGGCTTTGTACTGCATGTTTAATACTCAAAGTGCTTTATAAAATAATACTGATTGTGCAATGGCCATGCAGTCAAACAGAGCAGCCAGATGTGAATCAAACTGGATCCCCGAGGCCCGTGGATGGATACACATGTGCAAGGGCAGAGGCATGGATGTCAGTGAGCTAAATGTAGCCAATCGATTTCCACATGTGTACTGTGCCTGACCTATGGCACTTTTAACATACTTGAACTAGATTTTAAAGGCAAGAAAAATGTTTGCAGTGTCCTCCTGCTTAAGAGCAAGTGTGGAGGATGTTCCAGTGTAATTAGCACACCTAGGACTTAGAGAGAGGTTAAACCTGCCAGAGCTTTCTAAATATGCCTCTTGTTTAATGGAGACACATTTAGGTTCTTACTGTAATTAGCAGGAGCCCCAAACAAGCTGAGTTACCAGGGAAAAGGACAGAAATCTAGATCTTCTCTCTTTTATGGAACATTTGTGAGCATTAAATAATTAGATGAAGTAGTTTAATATTTTCCTAGTATTTAACTTAACATTTAGCGTAAAGGTATAAAAACTAATTGCTGGAGGGAAACTTGATATCATGCATTAACTATGGTAATCCTGTTCTTATTGTATGTAATTAAACTCTTTAAATGCTCCATTAGATGAGATCTTTTATACTCACCGCCCTCCTTCAGGAGGTGTGACTCACTATCACTTAACTGATGCCTACAGAAGTACTCACAACCAGAGTCCTGTGTTCCCAGAAAAGTGGGACAAAGGCAGCAGCAGGGAGTCAAATTTAGGAAGTGTTTAAGATGACACTAAAATAATGCTGCTTTCTTTTTTCTCCTCATCACCATTCAGTAGATGACAGGTCATCATCTGGATTGCCTGTGCTCCTGTGGCTCTCATTTTGTGCAGTGCTGATCCTTGCTGTGAGTCTCTACTACACCAGCATGAAGCAAGATGTCAAAGTCCTGGAGGAATTTCAATCCCGACTTGTTATCTTCTTTCTTCAGATAAGACACATTGCTCAGAAATGCTGGACTTGGTTTATGAGGCAGTAGCAATGTCCTCCAGCCTGACAGACATCTCAGAGCACTGCTAACCAGCACGTGGTAGTGCAAAGCTCCCAGTCTACTCCAGCCACATGCAGGGAACACATGAGCATCCACCTCGAAGAGCAAGAAAACCAATCCTGTTGTGCACTGTCCAACAGCCACTTGTTCTTCTTTTTTTTTTCTTCTTTGCTATTTTCACATTAGTGGGCAGTCATACTAGCACCTTGGGGTCTGTCATGGTTTAACCCCAGCCGGCACCTAAGCACCACACAGCCACTTGTTCACTCCCCCCAGCAGCATGGGGGAGAGAATCAGAAGAGTAAAAGTGAGAAAACTCGTGGGTTGAGATAAAGACAGCTTAATACATAAAGCAAAAGCCATGCACGCAAGCAAAGGAAACAAGGAATTCGTTCACTACTTCCCATGGGCAGGCAGGTGTTCAGTCATCTCCAGGACAGCAGGGCTCCATCACAAGTAATGGTTACTTGGGAAGACAAATGCCATCACTCCAAACGTCCCCCCCTTCCTTCTTCTTCCCCCAGCTTTATGTGCTGAGCATGGCGTCATATGGTGTGGGACATCCCTTTGGTCAGTTGGGGTCAGCTGTCCCGGCTGTGTCCCCTCCCAGCTTCTTGTGCACCCCCAGCCTGCTCGCTGGTGGGGTGGGGTGAGAAGCAGAAAAGGCCTTGACTCTGTGTAAGCAGTGCTCAGCAGTAACTAAAACATCCCTTTATTATCAACACTGTTTTCATCACAAACCCAAAACACAGCCCCATACTAGCTACTATGAAGAAAATTAACTCTACCCTAGCCAAAAACAGCACACAGTCCCACCAAACTCATGATCCACCATCCTGAACAGCAAACAACTATCTGAATTTTGTCCCCAAAAGAGCTTATAAACTGCTGATATGAGGAGCAGAAGTAGAGAGAGAAATACATTGATCTGTGCAGGCAATAGCAAGCTCTGAATAAAAGTCTCCCGAGTCTCAAGGCAAAGCTTTAAATACCATAACATCTTTCTCCTCAAGTCTCCTAAGAACTAGTCAGCAAAAGTTAAAATGAAGCTGAGCTATTGCACAAACACTGCTCTGATGACCAAAGGCTTGTCAAGTTGCTACATTTATACACCTGAAATGATTATTAGTAAAATCCCGGCAAATGGCTTTCTTGTTTCCCTTCATGCATTTTCTTCCTTCATGGGCAAAAGCTGTTTCTTAATGTTTCACTTGACTCCCAGGTGTGAAAAAGAACATGAAAACTCATTTAAACAGTAAATAGTTTATTTGTCTAACATAATAAATAGCAGCATTGAATCCCAGGCTAATTATCAAATCAGTAGTTTAATCCTCTGGGTTTGATTCAGTCCATAAACCCCACGAGCTGAGCTTACAAGATTTATGATAGTGCTTGTATTCAGTCAGAGGTTATGCTTTTACATCTGGGTGTTCAAGGCCTTATGTAATGGTAATATGGACTGTTTATGAAGGCATGGAAGGCAAAGCCCCTTTATCCCTCCATTGTCCCACCACAGTATGCACCTTTCTGAAGGGAATCCTTTTAATGGAGATCATGCAATAAATGTGGAATGGTGCTCTGGGTGTCTGAGAGGAGAACGAGTGAATGCAAACTTATGAGCTTCAGCTATGTTTTCTTCCTAGAGAAAATCATCACAATGAGGTTTTTAGGCCTTAGATTCTTGTCAAGCAGCACCTGATGCATGCTTGGGTTTATTTGGTATGATAAGATTGACATCAGAACCTGTAAGAGCTGAAGAAAAGGGAAAAGAAAAAAAAGAGAAAGAAAACACTGCAGAGAAGATGGAAGAAATGCCTGCAAGACCTTGGCTTGAATTCCCCTGCCATTGCAATGCACCAAAAAGAAAAAATGGTGCTTTATTTTCAGTTGATTTTTTTAAAAAGAAGGCCATACCTCTCTGCCCCAACAACCTTCCAAGCAGCCCAAGGACTTCAACCAGGCAGAGGATACACAGAAACACATTATACAGCCTTGTCTCAAGAGAGCAGGCAGCAACTTCATTGAAAACGAGTCCAAAAAATTGCAGTCCAAGACAGAAAGAAGTGACTTCAGTGGCTGTTCTCATGCTCCTCCTAAGATGTTAAAGGCCACAGCAATTGCATTCAGCACACTGCCAGTCTGAGAAGCAGAGGTTGCTGCAGGAGGAGTGTTTAGCTCAGGGGCTCTTTGTGCAAACCGCTCTGGTACCCCAGCTCGGAGGGTAAGTTTCACCGCTGCTTCCCTTCCCTCTCCCCCATATCAGCCCTGCTGTTTAGGTAATAAAGAAGAAAGGTTTTAAACTTGTGTGCTGGTGAATCTCTGATGAAAAGGTTTGGTTTGGTACATGCATAGGGCAAGGAGGTCATTACCACTTCTGTTTTCTTTCTTTAATGTTTATGATCTTTCCAGTGTTCGTGTTGAAACTCTGGCAAATCATTGGCATTCCTTTTTTGGCTCTGGACTGACACGTGACCCCCAGCACACAGCAACTCTCCCCTTCAAAACAGGAGCCTTTTCTGAAGAGATGGTTCCCTCGCAGCAAGTCATGGCACATTGCAACAAGAAAGCAAAGCCTGCGCTGACAAGAACTGAGCAATTTGAAGAGCAAGAGCAGTAGAGTGAATCCTTCCAGTATGTCAGCAACCTGGTTTCTGTAACTTCAAAACAAGCCAAACGGTTAAAGTAAAACAGGAACTCCTCTTAGGACTGTGAGGGAAGATGCAGAGGCAGTGTGAAATCCGTATGTGTGCTCACCTCCCTGCACGGCTCCCCAGGAGATGGGCATGGGACCACCTTTCCTGTGGGTCTGCTTTAAATGGAAAATGGCCACGTTCTCCTTGCTGGGGCCCAAATTTATCAGTGCAAGTGAGAACGGCTATCGCATCTGGGCTGTCAGGGAAATTAAGCAGAGGAACGGCTATTCTTGGCTTCTGCCTAGGCTCTGGTTGGGACAGTTTTGGACATGGGCAAAAGTAGCACTTGTGTTGTGTGTTGAGGACTCGCCATGGCCTTGCAAGGCCTCCCAGGTCAGGATTTTTTACTGCCATCAGTCAGACATGTGGCAGGCTGCAGATAGGCAAAACAAATTTGCTGCAAAGCCAGAACGTTTGAAATAAATAAAAGCTAAATCCCATCCCTGGGAGAGTGGTGGCATTTTGTAGGTAAAGAAACTGAAGCTGAGAAAGCCAATACATCTGTGCAAGTGAATGAAGCAGGTCACTAAGAAGGCTGGGAATAGGAGCAAAAATCCCAGCTCCTGGGCCTGCATTTAATTACTGCTGCACAGCTTCACTGTGGACTTGTCTTATCTCCTTCTCACACCGAAGCTCTTTTCCCATTCATCCATCCTGCTTATGCACACACACATACACACCTTTTCCTACTCTGCCCCTTCTTTCTGTTCTTTATCCATCACAGATCTATCCTCACTGCTGTGATCTGGACAGGATTTCTCCTTATTTTTGTTCAATGCTGTTTTTCTAGGTGTGACATGTGACTCTTTGTGAGTCCATGAGTTTGGAAGAGTTAACAGGAGCTCTAAAGTACACAAAATTGGCCGTGTTGGGTAATATTTCCCTTGCAGGCCATGCTGGGCAATATTTCCCTTCCGTACAACTCCAGAGAATTGCCCATAAAGAGGTGAAAAAAGAGGAATACATAATTTATTACAAATGGTCAAGGTGCTCACCTGAATTCACGCTGGTGCCAGCGTGGTGAATCACTTCAGAAGTCAAGAGTCCTGAAGCCAACCAGCTCTGAGCAATTATTTAACCCAGCTTGGAAATGGTCATGCTTTTGCTTTAAAAGGCTGAAAGAGAAGTGATGGAGGACAGGGATCTTGCAGCAATTTTTGAAGCAGACAGCAAGTAAGTGGGCTTCCCAGGAGCAGTGTCTGGGGTGGCAAGACTCAAAGGGACAGAAGAGAGTAGAATGAGGTCGGTGTGTGAAAATGGGTTAGCGACAGGGCCTAAGGGTAGAAGTGCTGCCTAATATCCCTTATGCAATGGGTATTAAATTAATGCACAACAGAAATCGCAGACCACAACAGCAAAGGATAACTGTTTTGGCAGCGTTCAGTACATTCCTGAAGCAGGAACAGAGGGCAGCTGCCAACACCCTCTTCAGGCAGGCTCACCACATCAACAGCACCTGATTGCACTAGGAGGCGTATCCATACCCATACAATTAGAGGAGACAGAAAAGGACACAGTGAGATGACACTAACTTTTTTTACATTAACCTCTTAATACACTCAGCATTAGCACTGGTAAAAGGTAGCCCTAAAGACTGCTTTTAGTCCCACTCCCTCCCTTCATCTCTCCAACCCTGCTAGTCTGGAAACAAGTTAATGGAGCAGGAGAAGCCCACAGCAGCAATTTGAATTGTCATTTCTGCCTTTTGCCACTTTGAAGCAAGTAGAAGGGCTGGCAGCGTGTGACTAGAAAAAGAGTATTACCGGCTGCCCTCAAGGAATACCTCAGAAACATCTAAGATAATAGCATGGACTTGTTTCTTATTAATTCCTTGCTCCAGGATAGCTGTTGGGAACCTTTAGGCCCACCTCTGAAGGGAAAGGCTGATGCTACGTGAAGAAAGTTAACCAGCTGGCATTTAGAAAATGAACCTGCCCATGCAGCCTGTGGTCCCCCTTTACATTTGGTAACAAGCTGCCTTTCAGCTGCATGCTGACATGGGAGCATCTTCTCTTTGCCTCCGATGGCATTAGAGTTCACTGTTGGAAGATGGTACCAGAAGGGCTCAGGCAGCTTAGGATGGTTGGCTATATCCTTGACTATACAAGCTGTGGCATGCAGATGCTGGGGAATGAGTACACGAACTAAGATGCTACCATTGACTTTGAGAACAATTTTTTATCTTACATTGTAACAATTTAAATTCACCTTCAAAAAGCAGGCACAGAAATATTGACTTTTCAAATAATTTATTTGTGTATATCACCAAATCATAAAAAGCCAATGCACTGTCCA